CCGCCCAGCCCGGGACAAGCTCCTAAGTTCCCGACGGTCTTCCGACATGTGTGGTAGTCGTAGTGCATGACAAGAAATCTCACCGCCTGCATAAACCTGAAGGCTCCGGCAGTTCTCCCCCACTAGTGTGGTAATGTAATGAATGTAATGTAAGTGTATATATATGACGAGAGGAGGCCACAAGGACGAACAACCAGAAGATCACTCGCTGTCCGTTGCCCTTTATTTTGTCGTTTGTTATGGATGTGATGCCCAACCTTAGCCTGGAATTCATCGGAAAACCATGGAAAACTACCGACCCAGAGCAGGCTAGCCACCAGAATTCGTGCAGGACAGCGGCTAAATTCGACATAGCTAGTAGATAGGTTCGGAACTCCTGCGCTGTCGGGACCGAACTAGTACCTCCCAATCAGAAACCCTGAAACAATCCCTCGGGTCTTCGCTCACTGGGGGGAGTGGCGCTCGAGCGAAGCGCGCGTGGCAGCATCTGGGAAGCGCGCAGCGCCGCCGCCTGCGCACTCACCGCAAGTCGCCCTTTAAGCCACCTGACGAAGGCCTTGGCGGCGGCAGGCGGCCACGCGCATGGCGCACTCGCTGGCGTAGTTGTTCCGTCGTGCGCACACGGCGGGGGCCGCCGCCCACGCACTGCTGCGCGGCACACGCAGCGCCCGCACCGTTGCCGTGCTTCGCACAACGCTGTAGTGCTCGCACTTGCTCGTCCTCGCACCGGCTGCAATCACCAACCGTAGGCCAAACAACTACACTGCTTATAATGTTAAGCTTTCTGCATGGGTACAAGTTTTTGAAAACGCTAGGCAGCGAGCCTTTCAGATTTGTACGAATGCAATAAGCCAACGTTATAAACGAGTTGCATACGCTATTTTTTGTACTAAGCATTATACAACTTATAAGGACTCAAACTGAATTTGCGAAACAACTTTGTTGTGACGTCCTCGAGTATCTTGACGTCTGTGGCGAGAAACGTGGTCGGGTGTTCAGTTTAATCTTTACCTCTCACCATTCTCTCGCTGCGATTGGCGAATGAGAGATGACACATCATTCAAGCCGTAAAATTTAATACTTCATAATTTGTGCAGTAAAGTGGCCCTTCATGAACGATTTTTGCAACAGAATGAAGTTCGTTAATAATCTGTTATACAAAAGAATAGTTATTTAATGCACCACGCACATTACAATAATGGTTTAATAATAGAAGCGGCGAGCGAAAAGCCTTCGAAACTGCTTCAAAAAGGCCCTCGGGATTTGGTTGCCCAATATCATCTAAATCAATTACGCCCATGTTCATCACAGAATATAATTTTTTCCTAATTAATACTGATTTAAATTTACTTATTTACTAATTAACTAGATGGCAACTTGACTGGTTTTTATTTTCACATTTACGTGGCAATAATTACCCTTTCATATTTCCCTCCTTACTTCTCTCCATAAGAGACATTGGGGCATCATTCATGTTTTCAATATTTCCCTCGTCCACCAGCATCCTTCATCTATGTGAGTTATGCAGCGTACCGAATCCGTATAGAAGGCAATAACTAGGTATACAAAACAAAAAATAAACATTTTAATTGTGATCGCGTTCCTTCTCTTGCTTTAAACAGCCGCAACTAAGTATGATATATTTCAATTACAGACGTTTAGTAATTATATATGTTTTGGCATGGAGGAGTAGATTAACAGAAATGTCTTATTTTCTATGTACTCAAATCATTTCATAAATTGATACATTCACCATGTTAGCTTTGGTGGCAATTGAAACATTCACATGGACACTACGGAATGGATGTACAATTTGTGTTTATTCAATAAAAACGCGTCCTAATTAGCGCAAGAAGCAAACAATACACGCCAACTTCATGTCCGTTTACTTTGGATTGAGCTGAACTCGAAGACGCAGCCTCTCTGAGCCCTCTGACACTTGGTTTCGAGTTTCTTCCTCAGGGCCCGTAAATGAGATTTTCGGACCTATTAAACTTTTCAAGCTTGACGGATGTTACGGTGATGAATGTGGGCAGTGACGTATAGAGTTTGTATTCTATGCGATATTAAACGAACTATTCATTTCGTGAAATTTAAAACCAATAATGTATTTAAACACATAAAAATGCCCCAATCAAAGCGGTTGGTTTCAAAAAGTTAATCGCTTTTTCCATCCGAATTTTCTTACCATTCTTCCTACTGGACGCATCATAACACAGGGGCTCATTTATCTCTAAAGGCGGTATACCATCGATGCTATGTCGATGTCAATAATCGCGTATGATAACATAACCTTTTGATTTTAATATTGCTTTCAGTTATTTCATATTTGGCGCAGCACTTATGTTGGAATAATGATTTGTGGAATTGTTTCTCTTAAATATCACTCGTGATCGAAATACCCCTGCTCGATATCTCAAGATAAATCCCCTCAGATAAATGCTCGCTTCGCGAGTCGGATTTATTGACAATTTCCAAAGCCATTCGTGGTGTCCAATGAAAATGCCCGCCGAGGGCACAAGCTGAAGACTTGCGAAAGAGTACTACTCCGGCAGCGTCCCTTGTAGAGCAGGCTTGATGTGCCGCGGTGCTGGCAGGCCTCCAGGCGCAGGCGGCACTCGTTGTCGTAGGAGATTCGGTCGTGCCGCACACCGGGCGAACTCCGGCCGGAGCACGACGGACAACACGGCACGCAGCTGCCCCGCGCGCTCCACGCACTGGCGCCGAACTCGCACAGTGCGCAGCCACGGGCGCCTGCCCGCCTGCAACGCAACAGCGCGCGCACGCGCAAGTCAGCCGCGCTCGCGGCCCTTTCAACCGGGAGAGCGAGGTATTCAACGCCAGTTATGAAGCCTGCCGCATCTCGGAGGTTGAGGAGATAGCTTATGCTGTGGAATCCCTAATGCGCGGTTTCGCATCCCGGCGAAGTGTGGTGATTTTCGAATGGGAGGGGAAATTCCACAGGGCCATGTCTCTTTGTGGCCATGTAAAAGAACCCTGGGGGGTGCGGCAAAAATTATACCCTTCAAAAAATATCTCGCCCTAATGAAATTCACTTTCTCCGAAACAAGTAATTCGATATACCGTAAGATTTTCATTGAAACCACATCTGGCGGATAACGTGAGTCACACCCCAGGCGTATCAGGGAACCCCATGTGTGCGCTCCTACTCAACACGTCCCCAGCCCGCGCAGAGGTAGGCTTCCAAGGAAGGTTTAGAAGGTTGTACGCTATTTGGAAGTTGCTAACAATCAGCGAGCAACCTGACATATAGCAGTAATTCGGTAGACAAAATTTTCACTTCATGACCATTGTCAGTGATAACTGTAGACACCTCTCACATTCTTACCAGGGGTGTCCAACTGGCAGCCCGCGGTACCACTTTACTTGTAACCGCAATAAAGTCATTAGTTAAAATGAAAACGCCCTTCCATCCCATGTCGGGCGGAACATGGGCGCCTAGCGAAAAACTGTACTGCCAGGATCAAACCCCTTTAATGTAAAAACTAAGTGAAGTTTGATTAAAAAAATTCTAGTGAATTCAGAATTAACATCATCCCCAATCGTGTTTCACACGTTATGCAAGGTACGGCCTGATATCACTCTCCGATTTCGACCAATTCGGCAAAGGGTTGAGATGAGCAATACAGGGAAATCTGCTATGGATTGGCGGGTAAATGAAATATTCAGGCAACTATATCATTGGTTTTAGTTGTTGCCCTTGAGGCCTTGCAAGTTGGACACTGCTGCTCCACGTAGACGTTAACATGATTCTGAGACCCCCTTATTGTTAGAATCGGGTATATGAATCTTTGACACCTCTGTATGTTAGAAGTGGAAGCGTTACATGAATTCTGAGCGCCCTGTTGTTGGACAGCGGGTAACAAATGAATTTTTGACACCTCCGTACCTGTTTGGTTATGAGAAGTGGAAGCGGGTACATGAATTCATGGAACCTCTCTGTAATTGTTAGAACGGGTAATATGATTTTTTGAAACCATCCTGTATTGTTAGAGTGAGCGCGTTTACATGATTCTGAACGCCTGTATTGGTTGAAGGCGGGATACAATGATATTTTGAGACACCTCCTGTATTTGTTGGAAGTGGAAGCGGTTACATGATTTCTGAGACCCCTGTATTGTTAGAAGCGGGTATAGTGTTTTTGAAAACCTCTGTATTTGTTAGAAGTGGAAGCGGTTACAATGATTCTGAGACGCCCTGTATTTTGGAAGCGGGTACATGATTGACACACTCCTGTATTGTTGGAAGTGGAAGCGGGTACGATGATTCTTGGACCTCCTGTATTTGTTGGGAGCGGAAGCAGGTACAGAATTCGAGATAATTGTGCACTGCGCTGGAACAAGAAGTGGAAGTGTGAGCGTGTTACGTCCGCAGTGGCCGAGCGTGCGCCAGTCGAGGTTGGCGCTTGCGAGGCAGGCGGAGCGCGGCGCAAGCTCGCACGCGCTGGGGTAGTGTGCGCGTCGCGGGCCGCACAGGCGCTCAGGGCTCGCACTCTTTGGGCGGGACTTCGCACGTCGCGATGCCATCTTGTTTATGATGACGCCTCTGCGCCGGCTGGCAGCGGTGGCGGTTGAACGGGTTCACCCTGCGCTACAATGCCGTGCACTCAAACGAGACGAGAAAACATCACGCAGTTCTTTGCATATAAGTATTTTATGTAGGCTATAGCATCAAGTCCACTTCATATATAATATATATATATATTATATATTGATATATATATATTATATATATACTGGTAATGTCGTGTGTGTGTGTATAGTATTATTATGGAATTTGTTATAAAATTATCTTGTGTTTACTGGAGCGTGGAGACTGATTGACGTGGAAGAGGTCGTGCGGGGGGGGGGGGGGGGGGCTGCAGCCGGGAGCACTTTGCCGGGGTAGAGCAGGAGCTGCGGCAGCGCGCTGCGCGAGCGGCAGGATGCTGGCGCCAGCCGCTGCATCTCTGCGCGACGCTATGAAGACGAGGCAATGCATAATGTGATATAGCTTCCAGGTCATATATATATATATATATATATATATATATATATATTGAGAACTGTGAAACTCAAAAAAACCTTTTTTGAAATCTAGTGTCATTAAAAAGTAAATATAGAAGATAGGAAACAATCTTGAATCTATAAATTAGATGGAAGTGGGACTGATGTTAGCCTACATTAAATACTTATAGAAAGAACTGCGTTGATGTTTTCTTCGTCTCGTTGAGTGCACGGGCATTGTGAGCGCAGGGGTGAACCCGTGCAACGCGCAGCGCTGCCAGCCGGGCGAGGAGTGCGTCATCAACAAGATGGGCATCGCGACGTGCGAGTGCCCGCCCGAGTGCGAGCCCGTGATGCGGCCCGTGTGCGGCCGCGACGGGCGCACCTACCCCAGCGCGTGCGAGCTGCGCCGCGCCGCCTGCCTCGCCAAGCGCCACCTCGACGTGGCGCACGCCGGCGCCTGCGGTACGTACACGCTCACACTTCCACTTCCGCTTCCAGCGATGCACAATATCTCGGAATCCTGTACCTGCTTCCGCTCCCAACAATACAGGAGGTCCCAGAATCATGTACCCGCTTCCACTTCCAACAATACAGGAGGTGTCAAAATCATGTACCCGCTTCCAACACTACAGGGCGTCTCAGAATCATGTAACCGCTTCCACTTCTAACAATACAGGAGGTTTCAAAATCATATACCCGCTTCTAACAATATAGGGGGTCTCAGAATCATGTAACGTCTACGTGGAGCAGCAGTGTCCAACTTGCAAGGCCTCAAGGGCAACAACTAAAACCAGTGATATAGTTGCCTGACATATTTCATTACCCGCCAATCCATAGCAGATTTCCCTGTATTGCTCATCTCAACCCTTTGCCGAATTGGTCTGAAATCGGAGAGTGATATCAGGCCGTACCTTGCATAACGTTGTGAAACACATTGGGATGATGTTTAATTTCTGAATTCACTAGAATTTTTTTTTAAATCTAAACTTCACTTAGTTTTACATTAAAGGGGGTTTGATCCTGGCAGGGTACAGGGGAGTGTCGCTAGGCGCACCATGTTCTCGCCCGACATGGGATGGAAGGGGTTTTCATTTTAACTAATGACTTTTTGCGGGTTACAATAAATGGTACCGCGGGCTGCCAGTTGGACAACCCTGGTTTAGAAAATGTAGAGGTGTCTACAGTTATCACTGACAATGGTCATGAAGTGGAAAATTTTGTCTACCGAAATTACATGCTATATGTCAGGTTTGCTCCTGATTGTTAAGCAACTTCTCAACATAGCGTACAACCTTCTAAACCTTCCTTGGAAGCCTACCTCTGACGCGGGGCTGGGGACGTTTTGAGTAGGCGCGCCACATGGGTGGTTCCCTGATACTCCTGGGGTGTGACTCACGTTATCCGCCAGATGTCGGTCTCAATTAACTACGAGTATATCCGAATTACTTGTTTCGGAGAAAGTGAGATTTCATTAGGGCGAGATATTTTGGAAGGGGTATAATTTTGCCGGCACCCCCCAGGGTTCTTTTACATGCCACAAGAGAGACATGGCCACTGTGGATTTTCCGCCCTCCCTTCGAAAATCCACCACACTTCGGCCGGGATCGAACCCGCGCATTAGGGATTCACAGGCCAGTAAGCTATCTCCTCACCCTCCGAGATGCGCAAGAGCTTCAATACTGGCTTGAATACCTCGCTCTCGCCGGTGAAAGGGCCGGCGAGCAGCGGCTGACTTGCGCGTGCGCGCGCGTGTGCGTGTGCAGGCGGGCAGGGCCCGTGCGCGACGCACGTGTGCGAGTTCGGCGCGCAGTGCGTGGAGCGCGCGGGGCAGGCTGCGTGCGTGTGTCCGTCGTGCTCCGCCGAGTTCGACCCGGTGTGCGGCAGCGACGGAATCTCCTACGACAACGAGTGCCGCCTGCGCCTGGAGGCCTGCCAGCACCGCAGGCACATCAAGCTGCTCTACAAGGGACGCTGCAGTGAGTAGTACTCTTTCGCAAGTCTTCAGCTTGTGCCCTCGGCGGGCAATTTTCATTGGTAACACCACGAATGCTTTGGAAATTGTCAATAAATCCCCGACTCGCGAAGCGAGCATTTATCTGAGGGGATTTATCTGAGATATCGAGCAGGGTATTTCCGAATCACGAGTGATATTTAAGAGAACAATTCCACAAATGCAATTATTTCCAACATAAGTGCTGCGCCAAATATTGAAAATAACTGAAAGCAATATTAAAATCAAAAGAGTTATGTTATCATACGCGATTTATTGCACATCGACATAGCGATCGATGTATACCGCCTTTTAAGATAAATGAGCCCCTGTTTATGATGGTCCAGTAGGGAGAAGTGGTAAGAAAATTCGGATGGAAAAAGCGATAAACTTTTTGAAATACACCGCTTTGATTGGGGCATTTTTATGTGTTTAATTACATTATTGGTTTTAATTTCACGAATGAAATAGTCGTCTTAATATCGCATAGAATACAAAACTCTATACGTCACTGCCCACATTCATCACCTACATCAGTCAAAGCTTGAAAAGTTTAATAGGTCCGAAAAATTCTCATTTACGGCCTGAGGAAGAAACCTCGAAACCAAGTGTCAAGGCTCAGAGAGGCTGCGTCTTCGAGTCATGCTCAATCCAGTAAACGGACCATGAAGTTGGCAGTGTATTGTTTGCTTCTGCCTAATTTAGACGCGTTTTTATTGATAAACACAAATGTACATCCATTCCGTATGTGTCCATGTGAATGTTTCAATGCACCAAAGCTACATGTGAATGTATCAATTTATGAAATGATGAGTACATAGAAAATAAGACATTTCTGTTACATCTACTCCTCATGCCAATAACATATATAATTTTACAAACGTCTGTAAATTGAAAATATATCATACTTAGTGCGCGTTTAAGCGAGAGAAGGAACGACGATCACAATTAAAATGTTTATTTTTTGTTTTTATACCTAGTTATTGCCTTCTATACGGAGTTCGATGTACGCTGCATAACTCACATAGATCGAAAGGATCGTGGTGACGAGGGTAATATGAAAACAGTTGAATGATGCCCAATGTTCTCTTATGGAGAGAAGTAAGAGAGGGAAATATGAAAGGGAATTATTGCACGTAAATGTGAAAATAAAAACCAAGTCAAGTTGCCATCTAGTTAATTAGTAAATAAGTAAATTTAAATCAGTATAATTAGGAAAAAATTATATTCTGTATGAACAATGGGCGTTAATTGATTTTAATGATATTGGGCAACAAAATGCCCGAGGGCCTTTTGAAGCAGTTCGAAGGCTTTTCGTCGCCGCTCTATTATTAGAACCATTATTGTAATGTCCTTGGTGCATAAATAACTATTTTTTGTATAACAGCATTATTAACGACTCATTCTGTTGCAAAAATCGTTCATGAAAGGGCACTTTACTGCACAAATTATGAAGTATTAAATTTTACGGCATGAATGATTGTGTCATCTCTCATTCAGCCAATCGCAGCGAGAGAATGGTGGAGAGGTAAAGATAAACTGAACACCCGACCACCGTTTTCTCGCACAGACGTCAAATACTCGAGACGTCACAACAAAGTTGTTTCGCAAAATTCAGTTTGATTCTCTTATAAGTTTATAATGCTTATGTACAAAAAATAGCGTATGCAACTCGTTTATAACGTTGCTTAATTGCATTCGTACAAATCTGAAAGCTCGCTCCTAGCGTTTTCAAAACTTGTACCCATGCTAGAAAGCTTAACATTATAAGGCAGTGTAGTTTGTTTGGCTAACGGGGTTGTGTTGATTGCAGCCGGGTGCGAGACGAGCAAGTGCGAGCACTACAGCGTGTGCGAGAGCGACGGCAACGGCGCGGCGCGCTGCGTGTGCCCTCAGCAGTGCGTGGGCGGCGGCCCCGCCGTGTGCGGCACCGACGGCAACAACTACGCCAGCGAGTGCGCCATGCGCGTGGCCGCCTGCCGCGCCAAGGCCTTCGTCATGGTGGCCTACAAGGGCGACTGCGGTGAGTGCGCGGCGGCGGCTGTGCGCGCTTCCCAGATGCTGCCACACGCGCTTCGCTCGAGCGCCACTCCCCCCAGTGAGCGAGACCCGGAGGGATAGTTCAGGTGTTTCTGATTGGGAGGTACTAGGTTCGAGTCCCGACAGCGGCAGGAGTTCCGAACCTATCTACATAGCTATGTCGAATTCATCCGCTGTCTGAAACAGAATTCTGGTGGCTAGCTGCTCTGATCGGTAGTTTTCCATGGTTTCTCCGATGAATTCCAGACTAAGTTGGAGCATCACCATCCATAACAAACGGGCAACGGACAGCGAGTGATCTTCTGGTTGTCGTCCTTGTGGCCTCCTCTCGTCATATATATATACACTTACATTTACATTCATTACATTACCACACTAGTGGGGAGATCTGCCGGAAGCCTTCAGTTTATGCAGGCTGGGGAGATTTCTTGTCATGCACTACACTACCACACATGTCGGGAGACCCGTCGGGAACTTAGAGCTTGTCCCGGCTGGGGCGGTGCCCCGCTTGTGGGAGAGTCCTGGTTGGGGAAAACCCCGCTAACCGACGTTACGTCGCCGCCGTGTCTCGCCAAAACTGCGGGGGGAGATCACTGTCACCTCGCAAAGAAAAAATATGCACTACACTTACGGGACTAATGTCCTTAGTAGCTGACGCGCCTGGAATCACTAACAATCAACCAAGCGAATGGGCCGCCTCCTTCCGCAATGAAAACATGCACTACACTTACGAGACGAATGACCTTAGCAGTTGTCGCGCCCGGAATCACTAACAAGGGCCAACCCAGCGCAGCGGACCGCCTCGATGCAACCGCCGGTGACCGCCACCCTGTTGCAGACCTGTGCCGGGACATCAAGTGCCACTTCGGCGCGCGCTGCGAGGCCGGCGAGTGCGTGTGCCCCACCAACTGCTCGGCGGGGGCGGGGCCCAAGGCCGGGGCGGCGCCGGCGGCCGGCGAGCAGGTGGCCGAGCCCGTGTGCGCCTCCAACATGGAGACGTACGCCAACGAGTGCGAGCTGCAGCGCGCCAGCTGCCTCCAGCAGCCCGGCGCGCCGCCCCTGCACGTCATCTTCTTCGGCGACTGCCGCGAGCGCCTGGGGCCCGCGCTCAGTGAGTACCGCCTCCGCTACCAGTCACGTGGCGGGCCTTCAAGGCACGGCCGTGTCGCTTCGCCAGTCCCAGAGGCTGCCACCATATCTTCCAGACCAGGGTTGTCCAACTGGCGGCCCGCCGTGTCATTCATTGTGGCCCGCGAAAGGCCGTTAGTTTTTAACGGCTCGAAGTATTTTCCATTCATGTCGGACGTAAGCGTTGCCCACCAAGCGCAAGTGCCCTTTGAGGTTCAACACCGCCTAAATGTAAAATAGATTTTTAAATTTAAGAATTCCTTCTAGTAAATTTAGTAAATTTAGAAATTCAAAATCATCCCAATACGGTTTAATAACACGCATCCCCCGCCTCCGATTCGCAGCAGCCGGGCAAAGTGCTGAGATCAGCAAAGCGGAAAAGTCAGATCTGGATTGCCCGAGCAATGAAAATATGGCCCGCGATCATATTAAAGGTTTTAGTTGTTTCCCTTGAGTTCTTGCAAGTTGGACATCCCTGTTCTAGACGGTTCACGATATCGAAGTGCAATTTTCGCTCAACGGAGCAGAATGACGGAGAAATAATATGATGTCGAAATATTGTTCGTTATATTTTGTTTTTTGAGAAATTTAATCATCTTTTAGTTGTTTTAAATGGAACTACGTTTCTCATCAGCAATGCATACGTCATGAAAAGAGGAAAACTATGAACTATTATACTTCAGTATAATAAAAACTATTATATGTTCTATTATATGTTAGTATTTTAATAGTAATTTGAATATAAAATTTGACTATATGACATGTGATTTTAAATAAAAGGTTAATATTTCCTGTTATGATATATCCATTGCTGACGAGAAAAAATATATAGTTCAATATAAAATCTCAAAAATTATTAAATTTCTCTAAAACTAAAAATATTACAGACGATTTCTCTACAACATATTACTAGCTCCGTAATTCCACATTGCCCATAGTTGCCCATTGCACACCTTCAAGTCCCCATACATTCTGTATCATTTATGAAGGTGTGTGTTGGAAAGGTGAGAGGTTACAAATTCGCGAAAAAGTAGTTGGTCATATCTTCGTGTTAGGTTATGTCTTACGTTGATAACGAAAGATGATATTCTCTTTACTCTTAAGAAAAGTTAGTTCAATATTTAAGACTGCACAGTTATCGCGCACGTCGAGAAAATCTCAAACTTCTGGCATGATGAACATTTGTTTGTTCTCGACTCCTTTTTACCGTGGTTCAAATACCTCATCAATTCTCTAGACTTTTTTTTCATATTATGCAACGTCTTTATTCAATGCTTGAAATACTTATTTCAAATACTGGTCTGATCGGACTATACAATGGGCGATACCAGGGCCGCCCACTTGTTTATTCTGTTTACGCTCAGAAAAGAAAATAAACATTTCAACTGTTGTTATCTAATGGAATGACAGCAGGCTTCGGAGTAGCGATACTTTCTGACAAGAAAATTGTTTTTTAGCCATGTCGAATCCCATATTGATTTCTTAGTTATAGATAAGGTTGCATGTGGTTCCTGAGCACAATATTAGCGGCCAAAAACTGCAACAATCAGTAATATGAAGAAGGATTGTTTTCCAGTCCAGTGTGTGTCTCAGAAGGTGTTGGCATCTATGACCAAACTGGCAAATCTTATCTGTCGAAAGAGCTGAGTTTTGAGAAATGAAGTTTCAAGCGTAAAAGTTACATTAAAAACGTGATTTCACTTCATAATAACTTCCATAAAAATTTGCCTTTGAACCTAATGTGATCCTAATCACTGAGAAAAGAATTTTGTCATGACACATCATATCAATCCCGTGTCTAAAAATATCAGAATTCCAAAACCCCCTGTCATCACACAAATTTCAGTAGTTCTAATGGTTAACCATATACATTTTACATGATATAGAAGATCGTGCAAAATTTTGTAGAAATAGATCATTACGTTCTTTCGTTCTGTTTCAGCTAACACCCTCACTTTGGTTTTGGGAACTAATTGCATGTGACTGATCTAACACATTACATTAAGATTTGAAGCGATTATTTTTTAGAATAGTAATAATATAATTCTTCAACCTTTGAAATTAATGAATGCGTTTTGGAATACGTAACAAGGGTGCGAAGCAGATGAGGCACTAGTCAAGTTTGTCGAAGAGACAAGTGCAGGAATTATCTCGCACCCGTTTTGCGTATACTAATTTAACACAATTGAGCAATGCAATTGTGTCAAGTAAAAGGATATAAGTTAAATACTAAATAACTAGAAATACCTTATTTGTACAAAAGTAAATGGATTCCAGTCAGTGTTTTAACACTATTGTTTGTAAAAAAAAAAAAAAAAAAAAAAGACGTCGTCAAGACGAAAGACAATTGCGAATCGTTACTGATGTTTCGCACACTGTGAAAAAATTAGCTGTTTCGCACGCGGAAAACAAGCACGAGAAACCGCGTTTCGCGCACTTGTTATAAAAAGTAAGTCGAGATGCTGGTGTATTACCCACCGTCTGTTTTATTGTAACCAAATCTTTAAAAAAGGGTCATATTTTCGGGAAAAAAAACACGGTATTAGAATTAGAAAAGTATTTTATTTTCTCCTTCCGTCTGTGGGTGTAACGGGTGTCTCTTTCACTAACTGTCTGCCTCTCGCTTGCTAACCCAGCGACGGCCACGCCCCCGTCCCTGCAGAAGGGCGCCCCGGCGCGCGCCGGCGCCCCGCCCACCGCGCGCCCGGCCTTGACGCACGGCCACGCGCACGGGGCGGCGGCGGGGCGCGTGGTGACGGCCGGGGGCGCGATCCACCCCAACGGCATCCCGGCGGCGGGCGTCCCCGGAAGCGCCGCCGAGCGCGAGGCGTGCCGCGACATCCGCTGCGATTTCGACGCCACGTGCGAGCTGGGGCCCGACAACTTCCCGCGCTGCTCGTGCCTCTTCGACTGCTCGGTGGCGGCGGCCGTTGGCGCCGACACCAAGCCCGTCTGCGCCTCCGACCTGCGCGTGTACCCGTCGCTGTGCGCCATGAAGATGGAGGGCTGCCAGCGGCAGGAGGAGCTGCGCCTGCGGCCGCTCGAGCTGTGCGAAGGTGCGCAGCCCCCACCCCCACCCCCCCTCTTCAAACTGCACAAGCATGGCATGGCAACGCACGCTTCATCACGGGGCGCAATTCTCCCAACATTTCTTTTACTAATACAGGACAAGTGTTGGTTGGTTGGTTGGTTGGTTGTTAGTGATTCCAGGCACGTCAACTACTGAGGGCATTTTACCCGTAAGTGTGGTGCATGTTTTATATAGGAAGGTGGCTGTGATCTTCTCCACTGTATGACGAGACCCCGCGCCGACCTCCCGTCGGCTAACGGGGTTTTCCCCAATCAGGTATCTCCCACCAGCGGGGCACCGTCCCAGCCAGCACAAACTCTAATCTCCCGACCGGTCTCCCGGCATGTGTGGTAGTGTAGTGCATGTTAGTGTAAGTGTGTGTAAGGGGTGAGGATAGGACAGGGAAGAGAAAGGTGAGATCGCGCGTGGATCCGTGGCCTGTTTGTTAGGGTAATGCTCTGGAATTCACCTGGTGTTGATCGGGAAAAAACGGAAAACTAACGCTCAGAGTAGCCAGCCTCGAGAATTCTCCTCCACACAGCGACTGAGTTCGACCTAGCTATCGAGCAAGTGACGAACAATCCTGTCACAGTCGGGACTCGAGCCCTAAGACCTCCTAGGGTACTAGAACTATTGCAGTAAACTCAGTTGATGCTCTGAAGACGATAGGGCGAGTGACGCAATCCTACGAAAAAAATTAAATCACTTTTACGACGTGTGTCATACACTGTTTTTCAAACAGTCTTACTGACTCATCCAAATATATAAAGGATAAGCCAAGATAAATTTTAAGGATATACCACGATCAGTAGTAAATTTCACACAAAAGTATTTTGTTTTCTTTATTGCATTCACAGAGTTTTTTGAAAACTTGAGTATCATCTCACTGTTAGCACTAGTGCTAAGAAATTACCTTTTAGGACGCTATGAATGTCCTGAAAGAACCTCTTTTGCCAGTGGCTGCCAAAAAATGGTATTTTTCGAATGTATGATTTTCTCCTAAAAAAAGATAGTATTACAAAAAGTATTGGAAGAGGCACGGTCGATAACACAAATAACAGACTCCTTTGGGTATAAACTTCATCTATTTCCTAAGTCTACAAATCTCTACCACGTCTGTTATGTCCGATTTATTGGACTTTAGCCGTTATTAACTACTGTTGTGTTTACTAGTAGTTCATTTGTGAATTAGCGAGAAGTTTAATATATTTCAAACCTTATACATCTCGTCATCACGAATTTCTTTCATTCTCAGTCAGTTGTTCAATACCATTGAAATGGAATGGCAATGTAGTTCTTAGCGTAGCCAGTAAAATTCGCTGGTGCTGCAATTGTTTGCAAGTTATCAGAATTCGTTGTTAGCAGATTACAACATATTTGCGCAACACCATATATTCTAGTTACTTATCGTTATTTGTAAATATTTTAAGCAATAAAATAAAAATAAAGGTAAAATGGCGGAATTAGAGAATTCTCAAATTCCTTGATAACACGAACCCATCCAACAGTTATGTAGTTCTCAGATTTGCATTTTACCGCATTCAGATGTAAATTATTATGCACTTTTAGTAATACTGTACTATTATAACGACTTAGAAGATCAAAAAATATAACGAAAAGCCACTGTTAACCACGGGCAACAGCTAGGGGTTTAAAAGTTCGCCCTTTATTAAGTATAATCAAAAAAATTGTTTTTGCCTAAGATGGTCTAGGTATAGGCCCTTATTCCGAAACAAATTTCTTGTTCATTTTCTTTATTTCTCGTAGTACTGCGAAGAGCACTGAACGACACAAGACTAGAAGCATTAATAATATGTTCGATTGGCTGTAAACCTCGGCTATGGACTCTGTTTGAAAACGACATCAGCTATTTATTCTTTGGTCTCATGACTTTAATAACTATAATAAGGATTAACGTTCATTTCCGTCACATCTCGAAACAACACATACCAAGCTGATGTTGATCATGTTCGAGAGTGCTTGAAAAGTTGTTATTCAGGGTGAATCATGTAACTTTAGCACATCCTGCAGGTTTTGAACGATTGAAATTATTGCAATGGTTTTCACGGAAATGCGTGAAGGAATTGGTGTATGAATTCATTTCCATTTTACCACTTGTATTTTAGGAAAAATTGCTGTTACTTTTTTTTTTTAAATGGAACTCTACATATTTTATAGTTTATCATAACGAGCGTAAAAAGATTCGTCTTTGATACACATATTACCGTCCAACGATATACATCTTGTCGTTCGTTAGATAAACATTTTTGAGCAATTTTTATTTGTTGTGACTTCTTTATAACGCCCCCAGCGCACGTTAGCATGGGGAGCGCTGCGTGATCTTGGGTAGTGGAATTTTACATTCGAAATATCCTTAAATATGAGTCGCAAGCAAATCAAAATTACTCAAAACAATATTTATTTAACATGTGACAATATGTAAATAATTGGATTCATCTTTTTACGCTAGTCATAATAAACTAAAAAATAGGTAAAAATTCCATTTGAAAAAACAGTTTTACTTCAATATCTCGTAAAATACAAGTGATAAAATAGAAATAAATAATACACTAATTAGCCCCACTCTCTCATGCCCTTCTGTGAAAACTGCATTCCAATAACTTCAACTGTTTACAAATTGCAGGAAGTGCTAAAGTTTCGAGATACCCTGTAAATACCCGACGCGTGTTCGCCTTCGTTGTCGGCCCCTTTTGCGCAGCGATTGTGAGGAGTGCGTGTTGCTCGCAGGTATGGAGGTGAAGCCCTGCAACGGAGAGTCGCCGCTCGTGGACCCGGGCAGCGGCAGGGAGTTCGACTGCGGGAGTGGCCCGGGCCGCCAGGACTGCCCGCCCGACTCCTACTGCCACCAGACGCCGCACTTCGCGCGCTGCTGCAAGAAAGGTCTCTATTATCGACACAAATTATCTTAATAGCATCTGTGGTTCACAAGTCTTATAATCTGAACATGAAGTGACTTCATTATATATATATATATATATATATATATATATATATATATATATATATATATATATATATATATATATATATATATATAGGAGAACTGAGGAGAAAGGCAAGATGTCATTTCTTACTACTTAAGTCATGCTCACGTATGTTATATTATCCTGTCCATTTTTCCTCTCTGAATTCACTATGATAGTCTAAACACTGTTATGACGTGATTACTTTCTTCACGGTACAATTTGCCTTGCCTTAAAGAAATCTTTACAACATTAGAAAAGAACTGCATTTTTGACTTGTTCCTTTGCTCCTCTTTCTAATCTGAATATATATAAACAATTTCTGCAAGTTGAAATTCTGCTTTTTTTCTAGCAGAGAATTCAAATCTGAAGAACTGTGAGGACTCTTGGTTTGGTTGCTGTCCTGATGGCAAGACCCCGGCATTGGGTGCCGACAATGCTGGTTGCCCCTCGCAATGTGGATGCAACAAATTAGGTATATCTTCAACATGTTTTGACACGAACAACAACAACAACAACAACAACAATAATAATAATAATAATAATAATAATAATAATAATAATAATAATAATAACAATAATAATATTAATAATTGTAATAATAAGGATAATAACATCAATGTCTTTATTTATGGCAACGCCCCTGACCGTAAGGCCTGCTCTTCCGCCTAACCACTTAAATATCTTTTAATTTACGTAATTACAATTGAGGCGTTCCGGCGCGAATACTGATAACTGACACTTCATGTTGTATACATTTTGTATTCATGTTACGTAGGAACGTGCAATGATCGCATTAACTACACGGAATGGGTTCACCTAAAGTATGAATGTATTTTCTATAGCATTTTTTCTGAACTCGAATGCTAGTGTGTTATAATAAGAGCTTTTCCATCTCATTCACAACAAAAACGTAATACTTAAGTACAAATAAGCCAATAATCTTAATTTCGCCGAAGTTACCCCTTCCACCCGAATGCGTCAATTATGAACAAATTTCAGAAAAGGGAGGGCAGATTTTACAAACAGAGTATGGGGTTACATACATAGTTTTTACATACATAGGGACTACCCCGGCATTCGGTCCTCTGAGAACATCTTGTGTTAAGGAATTGTCCTACGTCATTTTCATAAATTAAAAACGCTAAGGGTCCTAGATATTCCCTGTGCAACGCCTCTGGAAGTTTTAATGGCCCACCACCAAATAGGACTTGTCCATTTTTACCAAATACGACTTGTCGATTTGAAAGATACTATCGTATTGTAGGTTTAGCAAAACTCAATATTTTCATTTTTTTCTTGTGTAATTTCGTGATCAACCTAGTCAGATACTTTACTAAAATATAGAAGAACAAGTATTGTTAATTTACCATATCGATGGAGTCTCTAGATTCCTCCATTTAAGAGATCAATTCCTATGTTTCTGTTCGATCAGAAAACGTACTGTTGATCACTTTAGTACCTTTGTATAGAACTTTCGCTTTCGATGTGAATGAAGATCTGACGTCGCGCATTTTGTTCTGGAACTTCTGAAATCGTAGCTAGAATACTTATTGTATACTTATTGTAGAATACTTACTGATCTGTATTCTTGAAGATTGGTTGCAAGTTTAGGAAAAGGATGAAAAAACGCGGTTTTTGAGGAGGTCGGATACGTTTCATTTACATATAAAAGTTGATTAAAACGGTTAACAATGCGATATTATTAAAAGGGACCGACAACAACTGAGGAGAATCGTTACACGTGGCAGAATTGTAAATTGCTGCAGATTTCAAAACTGGGTCATCAACAAATGTCAGCGTGCGAACGATTTAACGAGTTTTGATTTTGGGGGTTATATTAGTGATGTATCAATACAATTTTTAATATTTTTTTTTCTTCAAAAACCTTTTTCAATTTTTTTAATAAGCATTTTCTTTGGAAAGCGAAAGAATCTTAAAAGTTGCGCAGGTCTAATTTTCTTTGAACTCTAAATTTTCGTAAATTGCAAAAGCTCGATTTTTCAGTGTCTTTCTATAACTATAATACTGAAGACAGAGATATATTTTCTAACAGAAAACTGTTCTTCAAAAAAGGCAGATCAATAAAATATAAGGAGTTTGTCTCAATTTGTCGAAAATATGACTCTTTCACGTAATTTTGTGTAAAATATGGTAATTGTAATTTGTGGTAATTGTTAAGATTGCAAGTTTTAAACAATTATTTTCTCAAAAGTGGCTCTGAATATTTTTTCATTTTTCCTCAGATATAGCAAAGGGTGATAAAAATTGCGGAGATCCTATATTCGACAAACTCTTTGTATTTTTGGAAATTGTAAAAAGAAATAACATTGCAAAAGTAGAATATTCATGAAAGAGATTTTCCCACTTAATGCAATCTGTCCTAAGAGTTAGATCTTTCAAGAAGGTCATGATTTGAAGAATAGTTTTCACATAATTATTGCTTTAAGTTAATGCAATTTTTAAAGAACAATTTCTCAAAAACGGCTCTTTTTTTCTTTAAGTTTGTTAAGAAGAGGACTTCTTTAAAATACTGCAGGTCTCATTTTGTTGAACCTTCTGAATTTTTGAAAAATTGAAAAACTTAGAAATATAGAGAGAATATACGTGCTGATATAGCTCTACTAGTTTCTTAATGAAATCTGTTAATCAAAATTATATTTTTAAATGATATACATTTTGTCAAAATATGAGAATTTTTGCTTAATAAATACAAGGTACAATAAAATATCCACTTAATACCAAAATAATAATTGGTAAATAATGCAAATCTGCTAATTAATTTGGAGTAGATCCATTTACAATTAAAATCTCTTTAGAAAATTGCAGTACTTCAAATGTTTTTGTCACTCTCCTAAAATTATTTTACTATAAATAGAAATTTGTTTCTCAAAGCAATCTACTTCGAAATATTTGTTCTTTAAATGCATACATCTTTTCTGTGGTGTTGAGCAAATGTGACACAGTTTTCTTCAGATTCATTGACAAGACTCCCAAAATGGCTGAAATGTTTTGCTCTAAGCGCTTTTGTATGTATAGAACACAATACAACAAAATTGATGATTCAAGTATCTTTTCAAAAAATGACTGAAGTAGTATTTGGATACAAGTAAAAATATTACAATATTGTATAACTGTCACAAATAATACAAAAAATATATAAGTATACAGTGTTGTAGACCATTAATTTTAAACAGCAATTGTTATTGTACTGTAATACAAAATGGTTTTTCTTAATGCCCCATGTTATTCATATTATAGATGCACAATCAGTTAAAAAAAAGTGTTATCTTACGATCGTGAAAGGGCCTTATTGAAATATGTTATTTCAGGTTCATATTCTGGAACATGCGATCCATTGACACAGCAGTGCTCCTGCAAACCAGGTGTTGGTGGTCCAAAATGTGATCGATGTGAACCAGGATACTGGGGTCTTCCAAAAATATCAGAAGGTCACCAAGGATGTATACGTAAGTGGAAACACTTGAAATCAAGTTATCATATTTATGATGACTTCTAATTTACTGAAGTTTTTCATAAAAATTTAAAAATTATTCTTGTACGCAGCAAAAAGAACAGTAATTTTACAGAAAAATACAAAGATATGTAGAAGGATTTATATTATTTGTTGAATATTTACAATAATAGTATTTGAAAACTATGAAGATTATCATCATCTCTTAATTTAATCTCTTTTCCTAAAAATTGTACTCTCCATTAAAACAATTAATTATGTAGATACTTTAATTGGGTTTTGTAATCTGTTATACACAGCATGTGGCTGCTCCAAGTTTGGTTCTGTGAGAGACGACTGTGAACAGATGACTGGACGATGTGTATGCAAGCCAGGCATACAAGGACAAAAATGCACAATTTGCACTGAGCATAACAAAATATTGGGCCCAAATGGGTGCACATCAGGTAGTTCATAATTCCTGTATATTGCTTTTTTTATATTAGATTTGTACAACTTGCATTTAAAGTAACATTGTTTCAAACTCAGTGGTGCCTTGTGCTACTTGTGTCATTTGAACTATAAACAAAAACATTTGCTATTTAAATGTACTGTTTAGTTATGTAACATGCTTAAATCTTTCATCATCACCTTAGCAATGTATTAATTTTAGGTCCCAGGGTCTGATCCTTATTTTCAGTTTTCCCCTACATTAATTATGGAGTTTCTTGTTTTCCCACCATTTTCTTGGTCTGCCAGGATCTCTATTTCCTCTTGGTCTATAGTTCATTACCATCTTCGGAAGTCAACTTGGTTGCATTATTCTTGTATGTTCTAGGCATTTTACCTGATACTTCCCTAATTCAATGACCACATTCTTTGTGTTCAGTGTTTTCCATATTCCTTTGTTCCTTAATTCGTCTTTTCGAGTTACTTGAAGTGCTGCTCTCAGATACCATATTTGAGTTGCCTCTACTCTCTGTTTGTCTTTGTTTTAGTGTCCATCTTTCACAACCATATTGTTTGGTTGATTTTGCTACCATGTTGTGGATTCTTATTTTTCTTTCTTTATTCATGTTTCTGAAGTGTATGTTTATGCAGCCATTGATCTGATTAAATTTTACCAGTTTTTTTTCTATATCTTCCTCTATGATTCATTTCTATTAAAACTCTCATGTGTCACAATCACATCACTTTTTTGGATAATCAGCAAATCATCTGGGAATGATCCATTATGTACTGCATGTTCAGTGGCTATCTCCAAAAGGCTACCCAGATGCATAGTTAACGACCAGAGCCCGGTAGTTCAGGCACTTATTTTACCTAATATACGCAGGCAAAAAGGCGTTTATTTTTACTAAAATAGGCATACAAAAAAAGGCATTTATTCTGGGTAAAGTAGGGGAGTAAAAACAAAAGAAATATTGCAAAATCACTGTTTAAAAATAATTATTGCAAAAAAATTAATAATTGTCATGATTCACGTTTTTATTCTAACTCTAAAATTTACATTATCTTTTACATAGAAGGAAACTACCTTTTCTTTGTAATCTTGATTCCAAGTGGTCATCCGGTATGATGACTATGAATTTATTTTACTAATTTCAGAGCAACTACTAACCAAGATCATAATAGTTCAAAGTAAAATAAATGAAAATGGACAAATAAAACATGTACTGGTAATTTACTTGTATAAGGATTGTTGAATGATCTAATGACCCTGTCTATTTACACTAATCCAGAAAGACATCAAAAGTTATTCTTGTCATTCACCACATTTCTGCAGAACAGCATTCCACATTCCAGCACCTTTCCTCCTCCCTATTCCTTCATTTTCTTAATTATTTCATTGTAAGAAAAATATTTTAATTGTTTTGATAATATTTTTGTAACAGATTCCACTACACCAGTTCCTACGTCATGTTCCGAACTGACTTGCTATTTTGGTGCAACCTGTGAAGAACATGGAGGTCAAGCTGAATGTGTATGCAGGTCAACATGTTCTGAAGATTCAGGAAACATGCAGGTTTGTTGGCTTTCAAGAGAACCAAATGTGGCTAACCTCGCTTTATTTGACTTTTTGTCATCATTATTTTCCTCTGCATTTTTAATGACATGTTTTGTTTTGTTTTTTAGGTGGTATGTGGTAATGATGGAGAAACATACGGTTCAGAGTGTCAGCTTAAATTATTTGCTTGTAGATACCAGAAAGATATTGTTGTTCAAGCTCTTGGACCATGTAAAGGTACATACTAAAAACAAACCATTTTTGACAGACTCAAAGAGACCGAATAGAAAGAATAAACAAATATTGCTTATGTTCCAGAAGAAATGTTTACGGGTACTGAATGGCCTATTAAAAGATCTACTGCTCATCGTTACACAGAACCAGAGGATGTTAGTTCTCCTTTGTATAAATCTACCAGACATCTTCTCATACCTGATCCTCCAAGCAATCGTTTCTACTACAACAGCCATAACCAGGAAGAAACAAACAGTTTAACATCTGCCTCTCTCCATCACTTTGGTCCAGGGCGTAATAATGCTAATGGTAAGTTCACTTTTATTATTAATTTTAAACTGAAAATTCATGTTAGTGTTGCTTGTACCAAAAATTCCTTTTATACTTTGAGTATTTCACTGATAACTTTTCAAAACATTTTGAAAGATATGGCCTTTCTTTATCTTTGCCATTGATTTTCATAAATTTAGTTTTCATAATTTTGCTCTTACAGACATATATTATGCAGCAGGGTACCGTCCAACGCCGGCAACTATCCGTGTAGTTACTGCTCTGCTGGGAGATTTGTGCACTACTGATATGGATTGTGGAGTGCGCAACAGTCGATGTGTTGGAGGAGCTTGTTTGTGTCCAGAAGGGTTTGCGGAAACTTCAGATCGTCAAGAATGTTTAGGTTTGTTTTAATTTTATTCTTACGCCATTATTTCACTTTTTATGTTGAGTTCAATTCAGCAAATTTGTACAGTAAGACTTGCCCTTGTGAAATGTGTATAATGCAAAAATCTGTCTAACATGAACATAAATCGTAGTCCCGCCAAATATAAATTCTGCATTATTACATTGCATAATGCCAAATCTTGACTAATAACATAATGGTCCTTTACGATTCTGCATTGAGCAAGTTTCACTGTATTAAAAATGTAAGATAGAAATATTGCGGGCAAAGTACTGAAAAGTAACTATTTGCTTATATTCCCCTTTTCCATTATTCCTTTTATTTGTTTTTTATTCAAACACCATTCTTGATGATTTTTCCCCTCAGATCCAAATAGTCAAATATATGACCGATGCAAGATGAAAATTTCACTTACGCAATGTTTTCTATTTTCTCTCAGCAAACTTCCATGCTTGTAATTCTCAACCCTGTCATCAAGGTGGGGTGTGCCATGATCTTCCTCATGGAGGTTTCCGATGCGAATGTCTTCATCCTTGGGGAGGACAGACATGTGACACTCCCGTTATAGAGAGAGGTATTGTAATTGTGTCTCACACTCATAATCAACCTCATAAGAGTATTATAGTTGGGAAAATTCTGAGAGGCAGTTTCATTTTTAATGAGATCAGAAACTGATATTGCTATATTTCATGTATAAGAAGTTTATTGAAAAGTTTGCATAATTCAATTTTTAGACCAATAATGCAATGTTTATAGAAAAAAATTCATTTACAATATAAGAGCTTTAAAATGGTTATAATGAGATTTAAAAAAGTCATTAAAAAATTTGCATTACTTATTTCTTTGGATTTGTTAATTCTTTCATTAACAAAATCTTTTTTCTTCTAATTTTTGTTGTTAAAAATTCTGTTTCCACAGCCTATGATATCCCAGCATTTGATGGACGATCATATGTTCGGCTGAAGCGTCTCAAGGCCTATAATAAACTTAGCTTAGAAGTGGAGTTTAAAACTTATGCAAATGATGGAATAATTTTGTATAATCAACAAAAAGCTGATGGAACTGGTGACTTTGTTTCACTAGCAATTGTTAATGGGTAAATATATTTTTATAAAAGTTTATGGAAAATATCTATCAGTCTTAAACTATTAGAGCAAATTTATCATTGATGTATTATTTGCAGTTTTGTGGAATTCCGTTACAATTTGGGCAATGGGCCTGTTGTGATAACATCATTAGATAAAGTAGAAATGAAAAAATTTCATCGCGTGATTATCAAACGTTACCATCGGGATGGTATGCTTAAACTGGATGACTTTGAAGATGTAGCAGGACAATCTCAAGGAACCCTCAAAGCTCTTGACTTAGCTGAAGATGCTTTTATTGGATATGTTCCCACAAATGTTTCAAAGTGAGTTAATATTAATTAATGAAAAAGACTGTTATATATTATTTGAAAAAATTGTAATTGGTCTTGTACTTATTTTCGAACAGAGTATTTGAAAATATAGGTACAACAACAGGTCTCATGGGCTGTATTAGAAAATTAAAAGTTGGTCGACGTCTTGTTGAGTTGCATGAAGGTCTGGATTCATTAGTGGAGGAAGCATCTGGTGTGCATGAGTGTGGTGAAAACCCTTGTTCAAGCATGCCATGTCATCATGGAGGAACTTGTCATGCTATTGATTCTGAACACTACAGATGTGCGTGCACGGAACACTTCACTGGTAAATATGAGAAAGCGAGTTATTCTTTTGGCATTAAAACCTAATATTTCAGAAATGTATTTACCCTTTTATACTTTCAGGAAATTACTGTGAAAGTAGAGTTAACCCTTGTTTATCAAATCCCTGCACATTTGGATCTACATGTGAAGCTCTACCTCAAGGTGGTTTTATGTGCAAATGTCCACCTGGAAGGAAAGGAAAGTCATGTCAAGATTGTAAGTTGGAGCGTCTCTACTAGAAGTGCATAATTTGTTTTTCTGTTTATTTAATACCAGTCAAAAACTGATACATATTTTTCAAAACACTTTCAAATTTAATGTTAATTTTGAAATTACACTCTGTTCTTTATCAGTGGATGCAGAACTTCATGAAATATTTGTTCCGGATTTCTCTGGTAATTCATACATAGAATTTCCTCGCCTTGAAGGTGTTAGTCGTGCCTTTTCACTTGAAGTTTGGTTTATGTCTCGAATAAACGATGGAGTTTTGATCTATAATGGTCAACTTGCCAATGGCAAGGGAGATTTTATATCCTTAAATATTGTGAAAGGTCACGTACAATTTCGATTTGATTTGGGTAGTGGAATTGCAAATATAACGTAAGTATTACTCTCACTCAGGTTTTAAATATGAGTATATTTATAAATTTATCACATTTGTGGGTACTTTATTAAGATTTTGCATTCTTGTAAAAGCATATAATATATAATGCCTTTTAAAAGCATACATTTATGACTTATAAATTCATTTAACTTCTTTTAATTTCAGATCAGAAAATGTAATCACACCCGGGCAGTGGCATGCAGTCAAAGTAACTAGAGTTAATCAAGAAGGTACATTGCAACTTGATGAAGGTGTTATATCAAAAGGTTCTTCAGGTGCATCGCTTACTGAATTAAACTTGGAATTACCTTTTTATCTTGGAGGAATTTCGTAAGTCCACTTAAATCCCATTCTTTCAGTCTATTTTTTTTTTACTTTTAGTGATTACATATTTGATTCTTAGTCTTTAATGATTATTTTTTATTTACAGCTCCTTAGCAGAAATAAATCGTGATGCTAATATTGTTTCGGGGCTAGATGGAGCAATACAGAGACTAATTGTTAATGGATACTCTCTAGACAATCTTGGTGAAAGACCAACTTCCATTGGAAATCCTCGCGCACACAACATAAAACAGTATCAAGGACTTCCCTGCCCTCCTGATCCTAGCAGTAATCCTTGTCTTAATGGAGGAATATGTCAACCACTTCTGAACCTTTATGCTTGTAAATGCCCCTTGAAATATGGAGGAAAACACTGTGAAGAATGTAAGTTGGCTTTCTTCTAAGTGAAATTGGGTAAAATCATTGAACCATTTATGAATAGTAACTTTGTATTCTGTTTCTTTCCATTGCTTTGCTGCAGCAGTGGATGCCTTGGACATGGAACGTCCAATACGATTCACAGGAGAAACTTTCTATCAATATGCAAACAAAGTTGACAAAAGGTGTAGTATAAATAAATTATATTTTTTCACACTTTACTAACAGATATAATTCTATGATCTTTATAGTCTACCGATTATCTCATAAATTACCGACTAACATAGAACATGCATGTGCTCTTTACTTTTCTAACTACTAATATTTCTATTTAGCACTAACACTTCCATATCTACTAACGAAACACATGTAGAAGTTGACAATGAAACAGATGGAATAAATGAGAGTGAGGAGGAGGAAGAGGAAGAAGAAGATGAAATGTATAATGAGTATGAGATAGATGGAGAAGGTGATATGTATGATGAAGATGATGTAGATTTCTTCAATAAGGGGTACAAAAATAATTTTTGAGTTTCTTGATGTAGATATTACATAAATATATAATTCTGTTACAGTAATATTTACTTGTACTACTACTTTCTTAACTTAAACCATACTTATTTTTAACACTTATTTTTCCAGAAGGAAAGGTGAACGTACAAATCGCTATGAAATAACCTTCCGCACACTAGAACCCAATGGATTACTTCTGTGGTTAAATAAAGGCAAAACATTGCAAAGTGACTACTTGTCTATAGCAATAGTAAATGGATACCTTGAACTAAGTTTCAATTTGGGAAAGCAGCAAAACCTACTCCTAGCAAAATCAAAGGTAATGTTTTCTTCTCAATTGTTTTAACTTTTCATTTGAAGGAAGTTGACTTTGTTTGAGAAGGGACTGCCAATGAACATAAAAATTACTAGGCTTATAAGATTTCTTACCATTTTATACTTGTAATAGTTGTTAATTAATAACTGAATCATGTGTTAAGGTAGAAGGCTTTTTTCTTCTTTTGAATCCAGAACTAGAATTTAACATTATGCCTACATGTTTTTTTAATCTAGTATATGTTGTGCTAGAAATTATTGTTTTTCCAACCATGAAATTTTGTGACATAGCCTCATTCTGGGGACAAACTTTTCTTTATTTAAAGTTGCGGCAGACTGATAGAATTTCAAACATTTCATTTGATGCAATTTCTAAGCAATAGAAATTCAATAAAAGAGTTCCAAATATAATATGTTCAATATTCTTGGCAGTGAAAAAACATATGAAACAAAATGTTTTGATAGAAATGAAGCAGCCCCCCCATAGATTATTAAACTCTCACTGATTGTATGAACACAAATTTAAGCCTAAATTACAAGTGCTTGCTAACATGTACCTTTCTTTCCATAAAGATTTTTTCATGTGTGTTGCTTACTACTTTCAACAATTTTTATTAAAGGTCCATGTTAGTGATGGGTCCTGGCATACAGCATTAATTCATCGACGAAAACGACATGGCTACATCCAGGTAGATGGAGAAAGTCCAGTACGATGCATTGCACAACCAGGAGCAACTGTCCTTAACACTAATGGGAGACTATGGCTAGGTAAAGTTTCTCAAATATTTATAATATATAGAAATCATTAATTTCTTTTCATTGTTAACTTTAGATTCATTTTTACGGTTATTCAGAAGAAATTCCAGTGCTACGTAGCATTTCTATTGCAGTGCTACAAGGGATCTTTACAGTCAAATAAATGACAAATTACTCAAAGTGACAATATGACTCTTAAATGGCTTCAAAAATTGAAAATTTCTTTATTATTTTCTCGATATATTATTTTCTCGATATCATTTTCTTGACTCTTTATGACAGCTTGAAGCTAAAAACTTATGTGTATTGTATGGCTACAGTTTTTTATCACTATGTACAAAAACTGCTACTGTGTAGAATAGGTTCAGTCTTACACACAACTTTCATCCATAAACTAGTAAAATATATATTATATTTTTAAATCTCAAAATGTTTGACAAACTTATCTAATTATGATTTGTTTTCACTTTGCAGTAATATTCTGCCGTTAATTTTTGTTTATTTGTTTGGAGCTTGTGGTGATACTTACAATGGGGAAGGCACAGGGAATGGATTACATGCAAATACATTATTTAGGACTACTTGCATTCAATATGTTTTTTGTTTTTGTTTGCAAGACATTTTGAATTATTAAAAACTAATTTAATTTTATATATTTTGTTATAATTTCTTATCCTCTCTATTTATAATAGGCTGTGGATAGATTGAAGTATTTGACAATTTATTAGGAATTCAATACAAAACACTGTAAGAGTACTTTATTGGAAAGGAAATTATACCTCAATCCTGCATCAAATATATTTAAGATGACACAAAAAGTTTCCAACAAAAAAAAATGTCATGGCCTACTATGGAAAAACACTCCATCCTCTCGAAAATAGTTATTGATAATATTCCCATTGAACAAGTCTCTCATTTGAACTATCTTGGATGTGCAATGAGTTACAATGCCAATAGGGACATTGAAAATAAAGTCAATAGATTTCTATTAATATGTGGGATAATAAATAGAACCCTCCATTATAAAACACGAAAAGATACAAAAATCAAATTTTACAAGACAATGGCTGTCCGTGCCCTTTTGTATGGTAGTGGATTGTGGATAACTAAAGTAAAATCCAAGCAGCTGAAACGAGATGAGATGGAATGTTAAAGTCTGCACCAAATATGATCTCATTAGGAATCAAGATATCAAAAAAGATCTGGGCATTTATAACATAAATGAAGAACTAGAAAATTATAAAGATTCTTAGAGACAACAAAATGAAGAATGGATGCCAATAGAATACCCCATTTGGCAATGCTGTATTGACCCACTGGCAAAAGAGATTTCAGAAGACCTAAGAAAAGTGGCAAACATATTAATGATAATAAATATGAAAAAAAGGAAGAATATTGTGAAGACGGAACCACTTAAAACATACAAAACAGATTAGTGCATCACAGTTTATAATCAGCCTTATTCACAAATAATGAGTCCTAGGCTCTTAAAACCAGGTTTTTGCATCCCTTATGTAAAGAAGTCTTGTAGGGATATAAATTTTGGGGGCACAAGTGGAGACCGGTGTGAAAATGATTAGGGAAAAGTGGAGAAATGAAGGGGAACAGGAGGGGAAGCATCAAGACATGTAGAGCTCGAATTATGTTTCTTCAGCAGTATTCTACAAATGAGATATTTTTGAAAGTTCTATAAGTCTTTTGGAGATTTACTTGTGTAGACTCCATAGAAGCACCCCTTAGAATAGTTTGTCAGAAAATTAGAGAAACATGAAATCAATGTAATATTAAATTGCAGGAAAAAGACAGAAATCATCTTTTACAATGAAATTAAAGAGATTCCTTAATTTTCTGTGCAATTTAATCTCAATGCCAAGCAATTTTCGAATCTAACCTGAGGCAGTACTGAATCAATTATAATTCTATAAATTAAAACAGAACAAGTTACTATGTAACCTTGAATATATTAAATACTTGTAACATTAAAGGTGAACAGGTTCAAAAAAATTAATGTGTGGAATATTTAAAGTTCTAGAGGTTCTATTGTTAATCAGATCTATATAAATTAAGTCAACTGTACTCTCATTAGCAAAAAAAATTTAAAGAAAATATTTGGAGATGTTATTGCAAAAAGTTGGTTTACATTGCATTTTTTTTTTAAATTATAATAATTTCACTCAAAATTATTCAAAAGCTTTTCATGTTTTCAAAAAATTGAACATTAGATTTATTATTTAAAGATCTAACTTTTAAAACTATATTTTATCAAGAAAGTCTGAAACCTGCATAATGTACTTGTAGCAAGGGCCAATTTTATTCTTATTTTTTGTACAAACCTTTTGCAATTTTTGGAAATCCAGAAATTTTTAATAAAAATTGGATTTGCACCATTTTTATGAACATATGTCTCTTTTTCAGCAAATAGAAGTATGAAAAAAAATTGGAGCCATTTTTTGGAAAATTTTGAGAATATTGTGGGAGCTTCATGTAAAATGAATAGTTATTTATCCACCAAAGGCATCATGAGGGTTCCAATGATTGAGCTGTGACAAAAAAGCCCAAGGGCCTTTGGTCCACTAAATAGTAAATAAATAAATTTACTCATTAAAGATTAATTAACTTTATTTAAGTTTATTTAACTTTAATGAACAGATTAATTTATTTACAGATATATATTAATTTACTAATTAATTTGACTCAATTTGTCTTTGCATATTTCCTTTCCACAATTCCTTCCATCAGAGAACATGCAGCATCATTCACCTGATTTCATATTTCCCTGAAAATCGTGACCCAAGTACGTTATGCAGTGAATATTGAGCTGCATATTTAAGGCAATAAGATATCTCTAAAAAATTAAAAATCTTTTTCAAATCCAAGAAACCATGACTTCACTCAGATTTTAATGAATTGGTAAAAATACTATTGCTTACACACAATCTGATGATCTGTTGTGCAGACCTTTGAGTAAAATAACTTTCTGGGTATCAAGAACATCCATTTAATTTTCACTTCCCTCCATGTAAGGATAAGTGATTTACTACGTATAGAAGCAAGAAAAATCCACATTTTTGGTATCAAGAATCCACAAAACTGTTGTCCTCTTGAAAGTCAGCATTTTTTGTTGCAGCATTACAAAGCTTTCTCTATTTTATGTAGTAGAAACAAATGGTCCTCATTCTGCATACATTTTAAACCATATTGTCAAGTGGCATTAAATGTATAAAATTGGTACAAAAGTTGAAAAGCAAAATAAAATATTTTCTGTTGCATAATGGTTTGTATACAATAAGAAGAAACTGTATCTCATAAAAAAGACAAAAATAATTATTTTAAATTTTGATAGTGTATGAGTTACCATTTCAGCTATTATTCTATTACAATTTTTAAAGGCTAAATATCATAGTAACAATTATTGTACTTTAGTTCCCAAATCAATGGTCTTGAGGAGGGTATGAAGAAGAGCCAAACTCTGTATTTCAATTGCCAACGCAAATAGATTTTATTTCACTGGAGAGAAACTTTCTTGTTATAAAGTTTTACCTTAAATTGCTCAACATTGTCTTTAGTCATAATTCAACTTGGTTGTCTCTAACATTAAAGTCAGGATAGGGATTTCAAGGCTTAAGACAACGTGCAAGGATTGCACTTTTCCACAACTCATCATAAACAGATTTTTAACTTTTTTATAGTGGAGATGAAAACAACTCTCTGCATTTTTGAAATAGTTACTTCATTTTTAATTTTAAACTCTAAAATACTTAAAAATTCCTAAAAATGCATCTCATATAATATTTAAAACTGCATCAAAAGTTGAAACATCCAATTTTTAAGTTGTACTTTCAAGTAATGCAGGATGTGGGGATGAAATGGAATGTTTGTTAAAGGGCAGAGGGTATTTGTGTTATATATCATTATAAAGGTTGGGAGAACTAAAAAGCCATTTCTTTCAAAATATATTTGTTGAATGTCCCAAGCTTCACTAATACTAGTACTAAACTAGCTTCCTTGTGAGCAATTTGCTCTTAAAAAAATTAAAATAGGTTCATACTGAATCCCAACTTTGAACAGCAAGCCCCTGAACTATATATTACGGCATTGTATGCCAGGCACTGGTCAGAATTTATCATTTCATATTGTCAAGCGTTCAGGTAAAATTTTACAAAAAATCAGTCACTATTTTTTTTCTTTCTTCTTCTTCCTATTGGTATCATATCCTGGCTATCTTCCTCAGTCTGTGGTTATTCCATTCTTTTTACCTTCTTTTCACAAATTCAGTAATTCCAGTTATTTTATTCTGGTTTCTTATATCCTGATTTCTTATCCTATCGCTCCTGGTCTTTCCCACTATCAAATGTAATTTGTTCTTTACCGATTGGTATAGTAGTTTTGTTTTCTTTGTATCAGCTCGGATTTTAACTCCACATAGCATTATTGGCCTTACATTGTCTTGTAGATTTTAATACTATCTTCTGTTCTAAGGCATTTATTTTTCCATGTTACATCTCTGAAGTATCCTGATATTTAAGTATGGGGTATTTTTTCTGTCTCTATTTATTCAATTTAATTTTACTGAGTAAATGCTCAAAAGATTCAGTCACTGCTCAGATGACTAACCATGCTACAAATAAAGGTCCCCAGGATAGCTAAATCTTCAAAAGTGTAATAGATTAAAAAGTTCTCATTTAACAGACTACTACTTAAGAAACATAACTTGGGCTCCATCCATCAATACTGCCTAACCATAAATATCATCCAAAAATCCATCAACTCATTCAAACTCACATGTCCCCCTCAAAACTTAAAAAAAAACTACATTTAGGATCTAGAACACATTGTTTCTGAAATATGTGCAAATAATGTGTATTTCAGTAATCCATTTCCTAAATCATGATTTTCAAACTAGGCTATTTTATGCTTTAATCTATTTGTTGTAGAATTGGGTAAAAATTCTCTACCCAAGAGTAGCACACTTCCAGGGTTTCGAGTCATTGGTTTCTTATAGATCATAAAAACCTGCCATCTATTTCCTCAGTTGTATCTGGCATGGTGATATTTCTTCAATAGTTAAACATGGATACAATTGAAGAAATCTTGGACATATTACATATTAAAATTTTCAGAATTAGTTTTGTATTGCCTACTACTAAATGTATTTAAAAATTAATTAACACAAAAAGATAGGGATTCAGATCTACAGAAGAAAAACAAATATATTTTTTGTTGATACAGGTGGCCAAGATTTGGCAATTGTGCCATGGCGATTTTGGGCCGAAGGATCACCGGTTCGAGTCTTGCCTTGAGCATGGTTGTATTTGTGTTCATCTTTCACCCCTCACCATCACCATATCACTTCATTCTGATACCTGTAACATTGATCAACAGTGGTCACTATGACCTCGCAGTTAATGCACCTTAAATAAGCAAAAAAAAAAAAAAAAGATAATCTTAATATATATATTTTACATTCTTTAATTTATGTTTTAGGAGGAGCTCCAACTTTACCATCAGGTCTACCTGCCCCTTATTACATGGGATTCAAAGGATGCATAGATAAAATAAAAGTGTCAAGAAAACCTCTCGACATGTTACAAAGGCTTGGAAATGATAGAACTCTCATTCAATTTTGCCATGACAATGATGTTTGATTTTGAAAAAATGAAAATTTGGATCTGTTTGCATACACTTAAAACATTAAGAAATGTGTTTCCTTGCACTGTGTGCAAAGTATGTCTTTCTGAGTGTGAAATGTTTTGAATGATAGTTAAAATCAGTGCATATTGAATTATAAAACATTAGAATTGTGCTTGAAGGTCATGAGTGTTTTAAAAGTTTGTGTATGTTGTAAAAACAAGTATAGGTGTGAATCTGGTGGTCAAAAAGTGCTAGTGATAAATGTGAAAATGGTATGTATGAAAAAATATGAATTCAGACTGAATTTGGAATGTCAGCCAGGTGCTGATCAAGAACTATGCAGATATGCAAGTCAGATAGTTTTATTTATATTGGAAATAGATGACAGTGAAGTTTAAATGTTGTTTGTTACCTGAATGTGAAATGACATTCAGTAAAGCTCTGCTGTGCCTCGAACATAATAAGAAATTTTCAAGAAATTTTTATTTTAAGTTTGTGTCATTGAACAATGCAAAATATAATAGATGTATGGCAAGCAAGAAGATCAAGTTGGCCTAACACTCCATTTGTGTTACTCTTTTAATTTAAGCAAAATGAATTGTGAAAAGGCAAATCAACATTTTGATAAATTTTATACTTGGTTCTTATACCCTCTAATCAGTTTTGATCTGAACCAAGAAAATCATTTTTAACTTGCTAAAGATGCAAATAGCTTCATGATGTTAGTGTTGTAAATCTTGTAACACATGTATTTGCAAATTAACTTGAAAATCTGTATGAACAATATGTGCAATGTTTGTACACATTTCAATTTTTGAGATTACTGGAAACAATACAGCTTTAGTCATGCTCATATCAATGTGACCAATTTCCATGTATGTATTCAATTCCAAGTGTTCTGTTAGGAGAGTTCATTGGACAGTTTTTAAATTTTATATGGATGGTTCAGCTAACATTATTTAAATATTTTCCTTTTAGTATGCTAATTGTGTATTATCAAACCATTTACCTTGGTGAATCACTTAACGATTACTAATACTTAGGTCGAATCAAAATGCAATCTCCAAACAAGCATTTATTACTTAAATTCAAAAATAAAAGCTGAATAAGATGAAATTTTAAAATTAACATATCAATGTAAAAAGGAAAATAAAATTATTGATAATATGTATATGAACATATCAATTAACAGAACAATGAGCAGACAAGCAGACTGCAACTTGCACATAAATCAACATACTATAAGGTAAAAATTATATATTATTTTAGATCATGGAAAAAAATTGTATATTAAGTTATGTAATACTATGCAGCAAGAATGAATTGACACAGTCATGTATTACATAACTGCCAAAGGTAAGAACTTTGGCAAAGAACAAAGATGTAAAGTACGTTATTGCCAACATTGTAGGTACCTGTAAATAAAATAATGTAAATTGGATGTAAGATCTTTATAGCTTACAGTGTCTGATACAATAAAAGCCAATTTATTTACAGCAATATGACGATAAAACATAACAACTGTATGTAAAATGAAAAATTGACATATTATTAAAATGTGTTCCAAAGTATTAATGAAAGAAAGGCATCTCAAACTGATTTAATTACAATAAAAAATGAAAGACTCCAATTCATGTAATTTATTGTTTTAGAATGAACTTCACTATTTCTTCCCATTCATCACAAAGGTGTTTCACTGTTACCTCAATTTATCAATCCGATACTACCTTGTTCAATTGGCCATTGATAAGGGTAGGTAAGAACATGAAAGAATTGTTCCATGGTAAGATCATGGAAGTATTCTTCTTCTTTGATAAGATGAAGAAACTGTATTTTTTCAACTTTCTCATAGGTAGCAGCTCCTGTATACCAGCACCCACGTATACATTACACACACACGTACATAATGTATTATTATTCATTAACTACATATTATTATAATTATACAAGGTGCAGTCAATAATTAAAGAGAAAAATTGGTCTTGAGATATACACAATTATATTTCCAAAACGTGGAGAAAGTATCTCACTTTCTTTCTCTCTCTCTGTCTCACACCGCCCATGCATACATTACACACACACATACATAATATATTATTATTCACTAACACTACATACACATTATTATAATTATACAAGGTGCAGTCAAGAATTAAAGAGACAAATTGGTCTCGAAATATACACGATTATTTTTGCAAAACAGGCCTTTGCTACATTTCAATATAATCCCCACAAATATTTGGAGCTGTTTTTGAGAAAATGTTTGAGCATTTCTGAAAATGCGAATTTTTGAGTTCATTTTTGCAGAAAATGGTTTACTTTTCAAGAATCTTTACTTGACATTATTTAAAGTACATGTATTCATAAAAACATTAATGTGAACAAATTGGCCACTAATGTAAATCATAATGACGAGAAGGACAACTCTAAAAAATACATTTTTGTAACTTTTTGAAAAACAAAAGAATAAAGCAATATGGCATTTACGTCATCGTATTAAGTGCATTTAGTTCTATCTGTAAGAAAAGTGTGAAGAAAAACATCAGAGCCATTTTGAAAAAATCTTGTTTTTGTTATTTTTCAAAATTGCAAATATTGTTAGAAAAATACTAAAAATGTACATGACCTTAGTGAAGGAAACTAACTATGGACAACAAATTTTATTTGAAGGGAAAATCTCTATCTTCAGTTCTATAACTGTAGGAAAAAGCCAAAAAAATTCAAACTTTCACAATTATTGAAACTTGAGAGTAACCATAAAATCAGACCAATGCCATTATTATAAGCGTACTTACACCATTCTTACAAAAAACTAAAAACAAATTGGAGCCTTTTTTTAAAAAAAATTGAAAATGTTCCAAGTACTTCATATAAAGTGCGCCCAAATTTCAATGAATGATTTTCAAAATCTCAAAGCGTTGACTCGTGTAAGATGGACAGGGGTTTCATCAATTTGGAAAATATCCTACACATGGTTTAGGTGCTAGAAGTGTTGGGAAAGTAAATTATAGTGGTGATATCACAGTATATATTTTCTTGTGTTATTGGAAACAGTTACGTAATATTGAGAAATTGCATGCATTTTCTTGTATGTATACAAGAAAGTAAATTAGTGGTGCCTCAGAATAGCGCAGACTTTCTTGTACTAGTTTTCTGTTTCCTTTGGTCTTTGCTAGCTATTCGGAGATGCCATATTCTCTTGCAGCTGCTATCTATCGCCGCCGAAAGTACATTTTGTGAAATTTACTTAATTTTTCTGTTTCCTCATAGTAAAATAGATATTAATTTAAGAATATTAAAGAACAGTAAAACCTTGTCAAATGTCAATTTTCTTTGAAAAACTTGGAGCTGGTTTTAAGAAAATGTGGTTTAAGCGCTACCGTAATTCGAAATTTGAAGTTGTTTTTTTTCACAGAAACGTTTTGAGTTTTCGAAAAACTTCATTAGAAGTAATTTGAATCACATTAATTCACAAATACAATAGTGTTCACTAACTGCTAGAAATGTGCACATTAATAGTGTGTGTGATCTTAAAAAAATACATTTGTGTAATTTTTGAAAAAACAAAAAATAAACTCCAAAACGTACGATTACATTATATTAAAGTGAGCAATAAGCACTATCCGTTCAAAAAGTTTGAAGAAATAATTTGGAGCTATTTATGTGAAAATAGCCATTAAAAGCTGATTTACGCCACGTTTATAAGTGTATTTTACTCTATTTTGACAAGAAATTTAAAGAAAAAATTTGAAGCCGTTTTTGAGAAAATTTTGAAAATGTCCGGGGCGCTTCATGTGAAGTGCCCCCAAATTTTAAAGAAAGCTTTTCAAAATCACGGCGCTTCAAGTGGAGCCAGATAGACTGGGGAATATCCATTTTTGGGGGGGGGGGAAATCTACGTATGGTTTAGGCGCTAGTGGTGTTCACTGACTGACGTCGGACGTTTTGTCGTCAATTGATTTTTCGGTATCAAGGACCCACAAAACATTGGTTCTGGTACATCACATGTTAGAGGATTTTTTTCTTAATTTAGCTACTCAACTTTTTCATTGTCAGGATCAGGCAATGAGTTTTGTACTGCCGCAAAACCGCTGTTTTTTCTCGCAGCATTACATAACTTTCCTTATACTACGTATGTTACTCCGTATATATACGCATGCGTATAGTCAACATACGCACTAGGCGGCTTGCATGTGAGAGGATGTCGGAGTCGTCCGTGCAGGTAGGCTGCAAGCGAATTCTATCTACGCCTACGCACATCGGGCATACGTCAAGTATGGACGTAGCATGCTGATGTCCTACGAGTATTCTCACTTCAGAGTCTTTTATCAGAATGCGTTGCGAAGTGAGGCAGCGCCTGGGCCTGCCTACCCTGAGAGTTGCAATGTTTTTGCGGTAAGAGACGAGAATGAAGATGAATATGAATATTTCGTCAACACCTAGAAGTATTTTTGGTGCAGTGAACAGAGACAATGATCTCCCCAATTTCATGAAATCGAGTTTTCAGCTTTTACTAAAAGAATTAGTTGTAGATTTGAGGAAAGCGAAGAAATACGCTTTCATATAATTGGAAAGGTTGGAGTCAATCTATTTTAGTGCATAGTGGTGAGACAATATTATGGTGGGGTCTACTATTTGAACGGACAGTCCGCGTTTTACTTCCCCGTATACGTACGTATATACGTAATAATAAACTCAGTATAGGGAAAGTTATGTAATGCTTCGTAAAATGAATTTCGAGATATCAACGGAAATACAAGTTATGGAGTCCCCTGATACCGAAAAAGTTTTTTTTTTTTTTTTCAAGAAACGACCGTCTGTCTTTTCGTTCGCCCATCCGTCTGTGAAAACTACTAGCGTCTAAACCATATATAGGATTTTTTCCAAATTCAAAAAACACCTAACCATCAGGCTCGAGTCGAAGTTTTGAAATTTTGAAAATCATTCTTTAAAATTTGGGGATACTTTACAAGAAGCCCTGGAAATTTTTCAAAATATTATCAAAAACGGTTACAAATTGTTTCTTTAATTTGTCTAGATTCTTTTCTCTTGAGAAAGCTAAGTTAAGTTTTCCAAGCCAAAATACAGGATCTGGTAAGAACAACCCTACTCTTCGAAAAATTATTTCACTTTCCTGGATTTGTTATGGGGAACAGAGGAGTTTTTGTAAGGACAGGGCGCCAGCTTGCTGGGGTGCGAAAAATGAACAGTTACCATATTTATGTACTAAAAAGTATTGGATTATTTTCTGCGTTCTTATGTACCTAAAAAAGCAATTTAGAGCCAAAATATAATAAAAATAATATTTTTACCTTTGAGTACTAAATAACATTTGTTACCATTGGAAATAATTCAATATGCTTAGACTTCACTTCGGTATGATAAATAAATAAAGATATTGTCAGGTATCAATATTTTAATTCAGCTTATGATCATTTCGATCGCGTAGCGATCATCCTCAGAGCTAAAATGTGAAATACAAATATTATTAACAGGTTGTAGTTATTGTATACAAGACATCTTATATTGTATACACATCTTGTATACAATAACTACAACCTGTTAATAATATTTGAATTAAAATATTGATACCTGACAATATCTTTATTTATTTATCATAATAAAAAGATATCTACTTCACCAACAATCCAATTAATTCACTTCGGTACCTGGGAATGTTTCTGGAACATGGTTTACGTATTAAATATCTTAGTGAACCGACACCTTAAGTTTAATATCAAACAGCATATTATTTAAAATGTGAATTTACTACTGGACATTGATGTACAGACATCCAGATATCGCCAACATTTAAATCGTGCGTCTGGATTGTGATTGTTTGCAGTTGTCGAGTGACTTACGATACTCTTTCTATCATTTTAAATTTGGTTGCTTTTTTAAATTAATTCACGTAGTATTGTAGGCTAAGCGCGTTTTAATTTTTGTTGTTCATTTATTTCAAGCTATATTTCTTTAGTTGATATAAAAAGTTTGTTCTTTGTATTGTGCCATAGCACACTTTTTCTCCTACTACCTCCGTACACCCGCGCGAGAACTCTCGCATGTTGAACCCCACACTCTTCCCTATCCATTTCCATTCTAAGGGGAAAGTTGTTATCAAAACGTGTTTATTTGTTTAAAAAGGTATAAAGGTAGCTTCCACTGTACTAACACAATATCAAGTAAAAATATAAAACAATGCCATTGATGTTGAACAGAAATTTTCAATAAAGATTTATTCAGTATTATCCAGAGATTTCTTGGAACAATTCTCAACACTTCCTTAAAATATATAAAGTATTTATTCTATATTCTTTGACAGCTTTTAGTGATAGTCACAAATATATGGAAAAAAAATTACTCTTGAGGAAGCTAAGCGACTGAACACGCTGGTTTGAAAGTTTCACCGAATCACTGCTGATAACGAAAATACTGGTACAAGTAAAACACAAACCTAACATAACAAGACACGTCTTCACTCTTCACTGTACACACACATCCCTCCATTAGGTAAACAGCGCTTGTAGACCTCGTAAAACCCTTAAATGAATGTTTTCACTACACGCATAAGAAACAATCTTCATCGGTGTCAAGGAATTATTAATAGTACTTCTAGTTGTTGCTGCGGG